AATTGTTTGCATTGTGACAGTCCTGGACCAAAAAAGGAAAAATAATCCTCAACGAGAATGATTAATACTGGAAATGCTATGAATCTTTGTCTTTTAGATGGTTTTATTTTGTCTAAAGAGGGAAAAAATAAAAACAAGATTACAGCTTCCCCCTCTGAGACCAAAGTGAGCATCATTACCTGAAGGTAAGTTGATAGTACAGGGAAAAATCAATAAAGACAATAAAAGGCTGAAATGTAATTAGTGTGGACACAAACATTTCTGTGAGCCCTTTTCCACCTTGCTTGCTGGCTTCCTTTCCTTCATCCCAGATATATTTCCTATTGCAGTACACTTATTTTGCTTGGAAAATAATGGTTTATAAGAAATATTACATTTATCCTGGATCAACTGTCCATTTAGGTCTATAAATGTCTTCTGAATTGAAATCCTAAAATATAACACACGTAACACTAGCTATAATCTGAGCTTTGCCACAAGTCTCTGCGCTTTTCTCCCCTTCCACCTAACCATGGCACACACGTCTCATGAAAGCATCTTTGTCCTGCTTCATCTCCATGAAGGTGCCTTCATCTTCTTTCCAGCCCATATGTGAGACAGGCTTACAGTAAGTCATTCTTGGCTACACCAGTGTTAAAGTAGCATCTCCCCCTTATTCTGACACCATCCAAGGTATATAACGTTGGCTAGGGTTTGTCCCCCATTGTCTTGGAGGGCAGTCAAATGACTGCACTGATTGGGAAGAAGAAGTGGGATAGTAATTGACAGCTGGGAAAGCCAAGTTCATGTATAAAGCTGTGCTGGCTCAAGAGTGGTGAGATAGCACTGTACCTCAGTAGTGGGTGTAAGCCCTACCTTGGGAAGTTATAGTTGTAGCTCTTCTGCAGATAAAATATTGGCTAGGACATTGTTCCTGCTACAGCATGTAATGGTTTGATGATTTAGCCTTCGTTAGCTCTCTCTTATTGTGTGGCTTTTTTACATTTTTGCAGGGTATGCGCTCGATACCTTCTCATTTTAAAAGGCTAGATTTATTTATAGGCAGCTAATTTTGACATATTATAAATATATGGATATATTTTTATTAAACTGCTATCTCACCTTTCCTTCAGGAGCTTCATAGCGCTCCCTCCTCCAGTGTTTCCCCCTAGAAACAACCTTGTCTGCTGGGTTAGGCTGGAGAGAGTGACTAGCCCAAAGTTACTGACTGAATTTCCATGGCTGAGAGTTAACCTGCGTTTCCCTTTGTGAATCTCTTTCTTTTCTCTTTATGAAAAAAAGAAGCATAGGGAGATACTGAATACATTATGATGGAGAGTTGAAATAATCAGAATGCTGTGAGATTGTGAAATATCTGTCTCCTTGAAAAAGAAATTAAAGCTGCATGCTTACATAGATGCAAAATAGACTGGGGCTTACCTCCAAATAAACAAGCATAGGATTTCATGGAAAACAGTAGAAGCATTTTATCAGGCTGCTACTGAGATTAAGTAGGCGTGAGCAAAAGACAAATATTTGGATAATTGAGGACAGCACATAACCAACCTTGGCTGACCCCAAAAAAGAGGCAAGTAGGTTTGGAACTAGTTAGTAACTTGGATGGAAGACCAGCAAGTCATCCCAACCTTGTAGGTGAGACTGGAAAGTCAAAAAAATATCCCAGAAGAAAGCAGTGGCAAAGCATCTCTGTCTCGTTACCAAAAAAACCCAACATGGATAAGTCTGTGTAGTCACCAGAAGTTGATTTGACAGAGTCTGTATCTTTTGTTGTAGGAACAATAAGGAATATAGCAAAACATCAGGCCAAGTAAGCAGGGAACAACATTGACCATTATACTTGAGATGTATGGGAACTTAACCCAAAACTTCTGGAGAGCATTATGTTACCTTTCTCTGGCTTCTCAATCTATATCCCTTTGCAAATGTTCATAGTCTTCGCTGCTCTGCTCCTGTATAGCATGGATACCTTGCATAATATTCCCATTAAAAGGTGTCGAGGTCTTCAGCTTAGCAGTAAACTGTAGGAGTAACCCTTAGAGGGATCTGAGAATCCCTCTCTGGGAAAAGAAGATGAGATCATGGGGTGGATTGTTTGGGGAAAAGGCTTTATACCCAATCTTTCATAATTACAGGTTTTCTCACTACAGAGAAATCACAGTTAAAGGGGAGTAGCTACAACTCTGTGTTACCTTCATTGCAACTAGCAGCATGTAGAAACATTTTGATAATGGGAAATCAATTGCAAGGCAGACCCTGCCTTCATTTCCTCAGCTCTTAACTTGGTCCCAAGTGGCACTGGCAAACAGAAAAGATTTATTTGGTGGCTTGTAATGGAAAACTATATTCTCAGTTGCCTTACAAGCTAGGATTTCTTTTTCCTGGCCCTCAACAAAATAAGATAAAATCGTCATAGTCTTTGTTCAGCCTAGACGTTTATCAATATTTTTATTTTTCTTCATTGAATATTTTCCATTAAGTCGCAGCCCCAGAACAGCCTCTATGATTCAGGGACAGAAGGCAATACTTAATTAACATGCCTTAGGCAGGTACTTCCCTACTCGACAGTAGGGTAAAAATAACTGGCCCTGATTCGTTGTAATGGTCTGAAAGGGGGTTATATGTATCTGCAGCCAAACATGCTTAGAACCCTACATCCATCCTGGAACCTTGCCTTCTTAGAATTCCTAACATGGGAAGCATGCAGATACATTTTCTCTTTCATTCAGCTGTTTTTCAGCTCTTTTCAATAACCATACATGAATCTATAAAAGCAGCTATATAGAGAATAAAGCTTGTGGGGGAACACATGGTGCCCCCCCCCATTTTTGCTCTACTTGTGACTGCATGCGTAGGGATAATGATAATTATACTTCCACCTGTATTATACTACTTACTTGTTTACCCATAGGAAGACCATTTTTTCCTCCAATGAGGGATGTCATTTTTTATTTGAAATGTTTGGAAAGGGCTGCAGAGATCACTGTCATTAAGGACAACATTGAAGATTAGCTTCCCTCCCTAGTAGCAAAGGGTGAGGTTCCTCCCTGCTGATAGTGAATGTTAAACCCCTTTGTTAGGCTTAAGCAAAATCTCACTCACTTTCCTTTCTGCCAGTTTCTACTTCCCCTTACATCAGGGGTTCTCAGTCTTGAGTCATGGCCCCAGGGTCACAGCAACTGTGAGAGAGTCACTGTGTTTGGGAGGCTTATGTGTACAGAGCTGGAGATCTGTTAAACTTGTTCTGGCTTGCCCAGGCAAAGCAGAGAGTAACGGCTAGAACGTGTTCTGATGGCACCAATTCACCCATGCCCTAGAATGAATTGGCAGGGCAAGCATTGCACCAGTTTGCAGCAGAACGGGAAGGCACATGGTCTCATCTCCACCTGACTAGCAGCAGCCGTAGAGATGCTACTGGCATTGGAGGACATACCTGGGGCTGCACGGCAGGTGAAGCCAGGAGCCTCAATTTCCTTCCACAGCAGCCGCTCTGATCCAAAAACTGTAAGCCCAGCCTCAAGATTGCCAACCAGACCTCCTTGCTCCAGCTAGGGATTTGGCAAGTGAAAGCAGATTGCCCTCAAAACTGTTGAAGAGGGATGTTCTTATTCAGTAGCCAACAGCAAAGGTATTGGGAGACCATTTCTGCCCACAAACTCAACAACAAGGGCGTCCCAGAGATAAAGAGTAGGCATGATTAAATTCCTCATTATATGTCTAACCTCTCTATTTCATTTGACCAGTTTGCTTATTTTCCTCAGACTATTTCCCCTGATGATACAGATTGATTTTGTTTTCTGAAAAGAGAAGTCTATTGTGTACCTACATCAGCCAGGAAGCAACCTAGTTGACTAATGAATGGGGAGTAGTTTAGAGTCAATACCTGCACTGGGGTTGATAGCAGATAAAACAAAGCATTCATGCTTCCACACAGGAAAATGAAGTATGGGGGTGGAAAAGAGGCTTACAGATTCAGAGATCAAATAATATGTATGGTTTTCTAACTGAAAGGGATAGAACAAGAAAGGAAATGAAGCCAGAACAGAACAGGTGCCCTCCAGATATATTTGGGCTACAACTCTTAAAATTTCCAGCCAGTGTGTAAGTTGAAATTCCAACATAGCTAGTGGGCACCAAGGGGAAGGAAGGGTGGCCTAGAGGTGAAATGAGGATTTGCCCAAATATCTGAGAAAAGTGTACCACTTTTCTTCTGTTTATTGAATATGGGAGAATTATGACTTCTTCCCAACAGTAGACAACATCAGGAGCCAAATATACCCACTGATGTGTATATTTAGAAAAAGTAGAAAATATATTTTCTTTGTAGTAAACTATTTCTGCATTGGTTGTAAGCACAAGAAATAGAAAGAACAAAGGTTGTTAAAGAGGAACTGATCTCCATTAACTAAGCAGAAATATGAATGCTCGGATTTGCAATTAGGTTCTCCAAGGACTGTAGTGGAGCAGAGTTTGGAACTAGAGGAAGTGAAAAATCCATTCTCTGAGTGAACCAAAAGAAGGGAACGCTGAGAGATTTGACTGAGATTTCTAATTTAAACTTTCATTGCTATATAAGGGTTTGATCCATGACAAATCTTTATATTTTCTGACTTCACATCAATATAATGCAGAGACTAATTATGCTAGAATCTTTAGGTAGCTGGAACCATTAAGGATTCCCATCTAAGTGTGGAGGTATGTTCTTTGCTAAGATGATGTTCAGTTATTGAATAAATGCTGGAGATTTTATGCATCAGACATTTGAAAGGAGATGAAACAATGCTGTGTCTTTATTTGTCACTGATTCCATTTGACCTCATAAAAGTTAGAGTATCCTTACTGAGACAGAAAGTATTGGCCCAAGGTTTGCCTGGTGAAAGAACAGCAGTTGCAACCCAGAACCCCCCAGTCCAGACTCAGCATGCTCCCCTACATCATCCTGAGCTTAGTTTTTGGAAATTCTACATGGTGTGGTTTATTTTGCCTTGACTCTCATGTATCAGATATTGTAGATATAAAACCAGCAAACATGGAAGAGTTGACAGAAGTGATTACAGCTGCAGAATTCCATCCACATCACTGTAACACCTTTGTCTACAGCAGCAGCAAGGGGACAATAAGATTGTGTGACATGCGAACGTCTGCTTTGTGTGACAGACACTCCAAATGTGAGTATGGTCTAGCCATGTGTTGAAAGACACAGAAAAGGGAATGTTGAAAATGAATTTTGTACTAATTTGTATGGCAGGATTTCCTCTTGCATATGAAAGAAAAATGCATACATTTCTTTCACGGTAAGTGGCCTCCATTAATCCTGGTTCAAGATAAAGCTGTAAGAAGAATGTAACCTCTTGCTTTGGCTATCAGTGACACTCTTGCACTTTGATACTAACATGAGGAATGGTTCTTTCCTTGGCCTGTCAAATTTTATCCTACTGGAACGAGCAACATCCAGAAAACCCTTTCATTACTGATTCATTGGATTCTCAGGTATCTTCTCTGGATTGTTTACTGTCAAATTGGAAGTTCAAAATACACAGGAAATACCTGGATGTTGCAGGAGGAAATGGCATAAGCAGTGATGGACTGCTGCTTTCATGCATGGGAAACCTGGTTACACCACTATGTTCTGTCATGATAAAAGAGAAAAATGCAGTGGTTATCAAGAAAGACCCAACCTAATTCCATTTTCTTTCAGCAAGCACAACATAAAGGTTTTTTTTTCCATTTTTCACTTGAAAAAATTTAGAAACGTCATTGCTTACCAACTTCAGAATATTTCTGAATGTTTGAAGTTCAACCATTAATTATTAAAATGGAGAATTTTGCAACTCAGGTGGGGATATTAAATTAGGGTATTAAATTAGGGAGGTGAATGAGCACATAAGGCTGATCTGCATCATAGAATTGGAATGCTGAAAATAGAGGTCGTGGTTGTCTGTCTTACTTTATAATTTAGCCAGGTAGCAGCCTACTCATTTACCACATTTATCAAAGTTGCCTTAAGTGTAGTGAATAGTAGTTCAGTCTGCAAATATTCACACAGTCCACATTTATCTTTAGATTGGAAAAAAAATAATTCAGTTGCAGTTAAATCTGGATATTCAAAGAGTTTGGTGGATTAAAGAGAGTAAAGATTTAACTGAAAATTCTGATACAAATGTATTTTTATCTACTTTGAATTGAATGGACAATTTAATTGACATTAAGCTGTTATTCAAAGAGTTATTTCAGGGACTGAATAATTTAATGTAACACAGAATTAATAAATTTATGGTATAAATTAATCTTAACCAAGAAACTGCTGAAGAGGTTAATCTCAACAAAATTAACCTAGTCCAATCTAATCTTTTTTCTACAGACAAGGTTTGAAGTGAGGAATTATTTATTTTGACACACTGTAACTGGAGTGGTTCCTTTGTTTTTTGGTTTTATGAGTTCTTAGATAATTGTCACCACTAAGTTATTTATGCTAAGCAAGTATAGATAGCATTTTGGATAAGCTGAGGATTTGATTCAGGCGTGATAATAAATTATGGCTTGCTAGGAAAAAAAAACAAGCTTTGATTTGTTTTTTCCCCTGCTCTAGGAGAGCAGATCAGAGGCATTTGGCTTTAATTTGCATAAAGGTATCATTTGCCATGTATCCAAACATGTGATCACTGGTGTGCACAAATCATAGCTTGCCTGTAAACCAGGGTCATGCCCTACTTAGCAAAGGAAGTGACCAGGACAACAGTCCAGACTAAGACATGCCACCACTTGTTCCTGCAATGATAAATCATGGTTTGGTGCTACATCTGAACCAATGTATGCTCGCTTTTCTTACAATTGGTCACCTGTCCTACCTGATCTATTTCTTGAACTAGATCCACATTTTGAGTTCTATAAATATTGAGTGACTTCCTAAAACAAGGACGATCAATCTCCCAATGGTTTTGTGATCACCAGTTGTTATTTTAAAATAAATTCTCCTTACTTTTTTGAGCTATTAAAGTATAGTTTGGGGTGAGAAATTAAATCCTAAAGGGAATGTCCTTCTAGGATAAAAAAGTTTCCAGTGCCGGTAATGCTGCTGTAGCTTACATTGCTCATTTGCTATCCAATCAGTTCCTAACCTCTAATAACCAGGTTACTGAAATGATCTCTTCAGCCTTATCTCGCCCACTTAGTGGAAAATGCCACAGCAGCCAATTATTGGGCTGCTCCAAGTGTATGATTGTATCCTGATCCCTATCACTTGAATTCCTTGGCTAGCCTGTTTTTTCCACTCCTTTTCTCCATCTGATTACTGTAAAACAGAGAGGAGTTTAGATTAAATATATTAGTAATAAAATGCAAGCTGGGATAATTTCCTTCCCTTTCCAACACCAGATCCCTTGGCTTGGTTAGTGTTATTCCTTTGTTCTCCTGCTGCAGTGTCCTTTAGAGCACGTTCAAAGCAATTGTGAAAACAAGTTCAGATTGATCTCTCCCTTGACAGCTGATATTGATTTTTTTCTATCCTTCAGAAATGCTGGTCCTCAGTCGATTGTGATTCAACAGACCTAGAAGTTGGAATTTAGGCCATTCATCAGGATTCAAAATAAAATGCAATTCTGGCCTTTAAAGATGATCTTCCCTACCCCCAAAGGAAATCTTTTATAAACATGCCTTAATCAGCATCTTCTCTAGCACATCCCTGATCTGTGGTTATTTCTCGATACCAATTTAAAGAGCCAACCCACCATTCCTCCTTTGGGCAAAAAACCATTCGTCTCATAAATGTGGCTGTTCGCATCTGATGAGCCATCCTGCTCTATCATAGCTGTGTACCAAATTGTGCCATCTTCATTGGCAAGTGTGCCAGTACTTCCCTCTCCTTAACATCCCTTCCCTCCATCGCTTGCTGGTGGGAAACATGCATTAACTGGGATTTTGTAACAAGGGCTTCTGCATCTCCCTTGATGCCAGTTCTGACTGGTGCCCCTATAGTTATGCAAAATCACCTTTTATAGATTCTACTTTCGTCCTCCATTCCTCTTTCCTCTTCTTCAGGTATTTGTAAGATTTGGCTTGGTAAAAGCATTCCTTACCCAACATGTTGAGGTGAGATGCTATGCCTGGTGCAGTGGATAGGTGGCAAGAGAAGGAGAAATGCATTGGGAGAAGCAATTGAGCTTGAACATGCAGTTGATTTCAAAGCAGTTGGATTTTTAAAGGGGGCAGTAAGCAGGAAGTGCTAACTGAAAGGGCAAATGCGAAAAAAGAATTGGAGTAATGGATGCCAGCTAGTGATGGGAGGAAAGGGGGTGTACTTCTATTTTCACATCACTAACCCATCCTAGAATCAGGTTATCAAGTCTACCTGCTCCCAAAAGGACTTGTGGCCTGCAAAAGGACCACAGATTTATATAACCTGAGGCTGTAGCAGATGCTTTTGGTTTGAACAGGAAAAACTACTCTTAATCCAGAGCACAAATTGATGTATTTATTGATTGCTTTGGCTTAAATACTGCTCCATTTCTGAAGATTCTGAGCAACTTACAAGTAGCAATACAGAAAATTAAAGTAACAACAAATGAACATTAACTCTGATGCACCACTATTAGAGGGTAGCAGGTTCTTCATATTGCCCTAAATGCCTTTCTGAACAGCAATGGTTTCCTGGCTTTTTGAAAATATAATAGGGAACAGGTGGCCTGGTTATTTGGTGACAGGCTGTTCCAGAGATGAGGACCATTACTGACAAGGCTTAAGCATGGGGTCCCTACAGGTGGCATTTTCTTGGATGAGGGACCTTCAACAAGCCATTTACTAGACTTTACTAGGTGGGCAGATTAAATTAGAAGACAGATATCCATGCTTTAAGCCATGTAGGGATTTAAAGGTGACAACCAGCACTCTGAGTCACATATGAAAGCTAACTGGCAACCAAAGCAACTCCCATAGTAATGGTGTTACATGGCTGAACCTCAGTATACCTGTAAATATCCGTTCCATTGCATGGTGGATCAACTAAAGCTGTGAGACAGTCTTCAAGGGCAACCCGATATAGAGCAAATTAAATAGTCCAGCCGCAAGGTGACCAACATGACTATGGGCAAAGTATGCCGTTCCACAAAGGCCCACAACTAGTGCATAAGATTAATTGTGCAAAGGCCCTCCTGACCATAGCCTCCATCTGCTGTTCAAGCCAGGAGTCTTGACAATCCTCAGTTTGCAGGCCAGCTCCATCTGGGGGAGCATAACTTCATCAAAGTCAAAGATCTTTGGGCTCATCTTTTGAATCCACAGCCATGCCATCTTGCTGGAATTCAGCCTAAGTCTGTTTATCCAAATCTGAACAGCCTGCATGTAAGGACCTCCACTGCATCTTCTGCCCAGCCTGAGTATAGTGATGTATAATCATCAGTATGCTGATGATACCTCACCCCTGTGCTGGTGGATGACCTTACCCAGCAGTTTTATATAGATATTGAAGGAACAGTAGCAGTAGCCCTGCCACCTTCCCAATACCTTCCCTAAAAAGCATAGGTTGAATATCTGTCAATAATTATCCCAAATACCTGGGTTGAGCAGTGGCTGTACCTCTTTGAAAGCAGAAGGCAACTCCCTTCACTCAAGGATGCATTTATCACTGCCAGCATTCAGCTTCCTATTACCTGCCTGGCAGCTTTCACTAGCCAAATAGGGCAGGGATCTAATCCATGGAGTGGCAGATCTGAAAGAACAGAAGGGCCTGTCTGCTTCCTCAGAATCCACAGACTCAACCCCGTCCCAAATAACACTGCAGGATAAGGCTGCTGTCGTTTCAGCTTGAGCTGTTCAGCTGGTATCCAAATCTGAATGGATGAAAGTGATTTTTCATCCAAATACTGCTTACTACACTAACATCCTGTGGCTGCTTTGATTGTGTCATGACACAGCTACTAATCATCCATAAACCATCTATCAACTCCCTTCAGTCTTTCCCAATGTTCAGCAGCCCCCTAAATTCTGCTCACACCCAAGTCAAGTAAGAGGTGGATTCCCTGTGGGATTCTCACCCCCCCCTTCCTCTGTCACCTGAAATGTACCTCGTAACTACCAACCTCTTAACTACCAACACTTCTTCCAAAACCCTCAGTTCAAATAACTATAAATGTTCCAGGTCTTCGCTTTCAGGTTCAGTTTTCCAGATCTTGAA